TCTTCAAAGGTAGAATACATGCACATTATTTTTGATAAATCTTGGATAAAGTCGTCTTTCTCTGCAGTATCCCAGAAAGTTTCCTTGATAACACCTGATAAACTTAACTGTGTTAGTATTTGATTAAACAAAGACGTTTATGTTGAAGTTTTGTTAATAAATGTTTCAGTATGTCATCAGCCTTATTTAGAATTTGTTATTTTACAAACATGCATTCGTTTGAAACGTTAATAATCAGTTTATGGAGTCTAATTGAATAGAAAAATATACAACTGAAATGTCCCATCAAATATTGAATACACATTTAGTGTTTTGTATCACTTTGTTTACTTACTTTTAAATTCAGTGTATACTGTGAAATAGACTTGGTCATCTCAGAACTGACCTTTCTCATGTGGTTGTCAATGATCTCAACATACAGTATTTGAAAATGTCGTCTGGATATTTAGCAACACTTATTTTTGGGTGCTTCAAAATATGTGTTAGTTTTGAAACATTATAACATAGGTATTTTGAATAATAATTAGACTGTAGACTGAGCTTGTGACCGAACACTATCCGCACTGTTACCATTCGAGTATGTAATGAAATCAAATATATTTCACACGTCCAAGTAGATATTAAAGTAGAACTGAATCGATCTTTCATTTACAAAATTATTCTAAGCCGACTGACACAGTCCTAGCTTTTGATCAATTGTTATAAAGCACACGTATTGTACATTATCGTTTATAAACTAAGTTTATTCATGTTATCTAACAAGTGTTATAATATAACAGAATTTCTTATTTGTCAACAAATTTGTCTGTTACGTATCTGCTTGTTTGATAATTTCCGTAAAAATTATTCCCGAGAAGCTTCAGCGATACAAGTCTATTCTTAATTAAAACTAGTTTATTCTTTCTCGTTACAAACTTTGTAATACACTTAATTTCTACAGTCACTTTAAACTTTAAACTACTTTTATAAACACACGCTATAATTCACACACTTTACTTACGGTGCCTATTGCTCGCGTGACTCATTATCTCAATTATCTGTCTCAATATCTATCTATCTGCCATTATTTCTCCGCTTTATTTGCCGGGCTT